TAATTCTGATCAGCTTCACCATGCAGCCATTGTGTTTTCTCTTGAGCGATTTTTTTTTCTTTTTTTTTTTCAAGGGGGATCCGTGGAGCGATTATTGTAGAGTTGTCTCGTTTAATTACTTCAACGTCATCTTCGGTTTTTGTATGTCTGAACGCATCATAGAACTGAACCATTGGCAACTTTTTTTTCCTTGTTGGAGCTGAAATTTGACTGCGGGGACTTACTGAAGGATTTTTATACTGTGCAAGGAAAAAGTGGTAGGGTGATACTTTTCCAAGTTTTCCTTTTAATTTTGTTGGCTTGCTGACGTGTTGCCACGTCCATGCATGTGTTTTCACGTGAAGTCGACTTGGAGTCTGGAGATGCTATTTTTGCCGTCATTTTCTTTTTTCTTTGCCATGTTGAGGGCTGGAAGTACTTTGCCAGCTAGTACTTGTTAAAGAAGAGGTTGTTGGCCTAGGGTCACTATCAAGAAAAGCGTGGCCCTTGAAGAGTTGCTTCTTATTTTCTATTGTTAAGTTGGTAGGCCACGTGTCACAACATGATTGGCTCATTTGACTGACACGGTGTGCTCCATCGCGCAAATACTTACGTGCACCTAGGTACACCTTGCTAGGTGTACCAAGGCAGAGAGTGAAATCACGTAAGAAAAAGGAGCGTGGCTTTACAAATAAAAATCCTGTCCAAATCCTTTCCCACGCGCAGAGAGAGAGAGAGAAGAAAAAGGCGGTAAAAAGTAGAACTTCCTTCCGCCAAAATTGGGCTCATTTTTCAAGGCAAAAAATCCTCTTTCACTCCATATTTTCTCTCCTGAAGGCAATTGTCGATTTTATCTTCTGCAAAACTGAATTTTCCCATGGTGATATTACAAGATGTAGACGCATCCCCTAGGTTTTGTAATATTGAAAATGAACATGTTCATTTTAATCTGGAGAATGAACATGTTCATTTTGGAGATGGAAGTGTAGTTGGGTCTTCCAATCTGGAAAAAAGTGTAATTGGGTCTTGCAATCCGGAAAAAATTTCTTTATTTGAGGATGAACACGTTGATTGTAATGAAACTGCGGTAATATCGCTTGATGAAGATGATGAACATGTTCATTTTAATCTGGGGGATGAACATGTTCATTTTGGAGATGGAAGTGTAGTTGGGTCTTCCAATCTGGAAAAAAGTGTAGTTGGGTCTTGCAATCCGGAAATAATTAATTTATTTGAGGATGAACATGTTGATTGTAATGAAACCGCGGTAATATCCATTGATGAAGCCAATGGTGAAGGTGCAGGTAATTCAGAAACCATGTTCATTCTACAATCAAATATATTCATTTCATAATGAAAGATACTCATAAACACATGTTCATTGTTGTATATAAACATGTTCATTTTATTTTGTAGAAAAAGTTCATTTTGGTTTTAAACATGTTCATTTCATTTTGTTTTCACACATGTTCATTTTTTATATAATTATGTTCATTTCTGTATTAAACATATTCATATATTAAATAGGTGTTTATTCTCTTTGTTTTGGAAAAGTTCGATATGGAATGCATGCATGTTCATTTCTTAACTCAACATATTCATTTCTTACCGGAACATATTCATATTTTTGTAGAGATCGATGATGAAAAATTGCTTGGGATGAAATTTAATTCCTTGGAAGATGCTTATGAATTCTACAATTCATATGCGAAGAGACATGGTTTTGGAGTTAGAAAATTCAGGTCAAGAAAGAAGAAGGATAATAATGTATATTGGAAACAATTTTGTTGCAATAAGCAAGGGTTTAAAAGCAAAGTGGACAAAGAGAGGAGTTATACAAAATTGGAAACGCGGGTTGGTTGCAAGGCAATGATTCAACTTCTTTTTGATGGTGCTAATTGGATAGTGGAGCAAGAAGTGGATCAACACAACCATGAGTTAGTTCCATGCAATCAAGCCCGCTCTTTTCGCTCTCACAGGGATATGCCTTCGAATGATGTAGCATATTTGTCACAATTAAAAGCTAGTGGAGTTGGTGTTACCGTTGGTTATAGGGTTCTTTCGGATCAAGCTCGTGGTGTTCAAAATATGCCCTATACAATAGTTGATGTCCGTAACCACGTTGCAAAGCTTGCACGGAGAATTTGGGAAGGCGGTGATGCAAATGGCCTACTTAATATATTGAAAGAAAGACAGGCCCGGGAAGATGGATTTTATTTTAATTATGATCTGAATAAGGAGACAGCATCATTGTGTTCCATTTTTTGGAGGGATTCTCGCATGAGGAAGGATTATGAGGTGTTTGGTGATTTAGTTGTATTTGATACTACTCATAGGACAGTTAAGTACAATCTTGCATGTGCTCCATTTACAGGGATGAACCATCACAAGAGAAACATTATGTTTGGTGTTGGTTTTTTGCTTCATGAGGACAAGGATTCATTTCAGTGGTTGTTGGATGAATTTCTGAAGTCAATGGGTGGGAAGCAGCCTGCCACAATAATGACCGATGAAGATGCAGCCATGGCAGCGGCAATTCCATTGGTGTTAACGCAATCCCGACATCGCTTATGCACCTGGCATATTGACGAGAATTCAAAAAAGCACATTCAGTATCTTCGGATAATGCCCGGTTTCATCAATCTTTTTCATTTGGTTTTGAGATCAACGGACACAATACCGGAATTCGATTTTTATTGGAAAAAGTGAGTTATTCAATTTATATTTAAACAAGTTCATTCTACAATTAAACATGTTCATTTCATAATGAAACATGATCATTTCTCACTGTAACTTGTTCATGATAATAATTTTTGTAGATAAAATTAATTTTCGTATAAAAACATGTTCATTTATTTATCAAACATGTTCAAATCATACTGAAACATTGTCATATATTAAATAGGTGCTTATTCTGTGTTTTAGAAAAGTTCAAAGAACATGTCAAATAAAATGTAGACATGTTCATTAGAAAACTGAACTTGTTCAGTTTGTAATGAAACATTTTCATATCATACTGTAACATGTTCATGATTTCATTTTTGTAGAAAAGTTCATTTTGTTTTAAACATGTTCACTTTGTATACAAAAATATTCATTTAGTTATTAAACATGTTCACTTTGTATAAATAAATACTCATTTAGTTATTAAACATATTCATTTTGTATATGAACATATTCCTCTAGTATACGAACATGTTCATTAGAAACACTCATTTTTTATAGGAACATGTTCAGTATACAATTGCACATATTCATTTCATACTGTAACATTGTTCTTGATACTTCAGTATGTGTGATACATACAATTGCGCTGATGATAAATGGCTGAAGCGGTTGTATTCAAATCGTCACAAATGGTGTCCAGCCTTTAACAAAACTCATTTCTCTGGTGGTATATTGTCATCCCAAAGGAGTGAATCAACAAACAACTCAATTTCGGCGAAACTTCCCAAGACTGCTCGATTGTGTGGCTTTTATTCTCATTTTGTCAAAGTTCTTGAGGAGTGGAGAGAGAAGGAGAATAAAGATGACTTTCGGTGCAACAATGGCCGTGTAGAATGTCAATTCCCTGATAATTCCCTACTCCTTAATGTTCGTGAGTTGTACACAATTGAAGCATATATTCATTTTGAGCAACTGTATATAGCTGCAATTTCGTGCAAGATGGAAGTCATTGGAGCACCACAAAGCATTGGAATTGGAAATAATGGGAATGTTGTTTTATGCTATGTTCAAAGGGCAAATGTGGATGTGTTCAAGCACCAAGTAAATTTCAACTTAACTTCTCGTGAGGTTAGGTGTTCATGTGATTTGTTTTCGGAGGTTGGTTTCCTTTGCTGCCACTGTCTTAGGGTGTACATCGTTTTTAATGTCGAAAGAGTTCCGGATATGTATGTACATCCAAGGTGGCGTCGGAATGCCAATTTGAATTGTCGTTTAGACTTGGAGGGAACCCAATATTCTGCGGGTTACCATGTGCCAGGTACATATTCATTATACAATAGAACTTGATCATTTTGTATTGAAACATGTTCGTGCCTTACTGAAACATGTGCATGATATTCATAATACAATAGAACATGTTCATTTAGTATTGAACACATGTTCATTACTGAATCAAATATGTTCATTTCAGGTGCATGCCTTTGGAGATCCGACAAAATATGCCAGTTTCTGAAGATTGTTTCATCGAGTGAAATGGATCAAAATGCCAAAGATATTGTTGATGAATGTTTGAGATCCATGTCTGATCGGATAGAGTCTCATTTTTCTTCATTAGCTACAGGTGAACCGTCTTGTACCGCGAAATCTTCTGCCGCGAATGTTAACGATCCAGAGAAATTGAGGCCTAGAGGAGAACGAAACATTCGACGGAAAAGTACTGTGGAGAAAATTTCAAGACAATCAAAGGGGAAGCACAAGAAACGAGCTTCATTGAGGAATAGGAACACCATGTTTAACCGGGTCTTTTCTACAAACCCTGAATTTGTTGGACGGTTTGTGCATCCTTTTCCTCCTAACCAAGATTCTCAAGATGATCCTAGAGGCTCTGGATACAATCCTCCGGTCATGAACATGGCCTCTCAAGATACCTTTTGTTTTCTATGAACATGTTTTGTTTTCATATGAACATGTGTCTTTTGCAACATGCACATGTGTATTAACCCGATGAACATGTTGATTTTGCACATGTTGTATGTTGATTTTGTAAGTAATGTGTTTCTTAACTCGATGCATTTGTTTATTTATAAAATAAACATTTCAAATTATAAGATGAATATGTTAGGTTATGAGATGATTATGTTTATTAGCGCGATGAATATGTTGATATTCTATGAAGAAATATGTTAATTAACATAATGAATATGTTTATTTGTAAAATGAACATGTCAACTCGACTCTACTATAACTTGACTCGATTATACTAAGTTTGACTAGATTATACTAGAATTTAACTCAATTATATTAAGTTTGACTAGATTATACAAGAATTTGACTCGATTATACTAAGTTTGACTAGATTATATTAGAATTCACTTGAATATACTATAATTTGACTCGATTATACTAAGTTTGACTAGATTTTACTAGAATTCACTTGAATATAATATAATTTGACTCGATTATATTAAGTTTGACTAGATTATACAAGA